AAAATGAAATACCATTTTTAATGATTTTAGAGGGGAGAGAAAACAGTTCAGGGGAGAATTTTCTACAGAGATCGGATCAGATTGTAGGGTCACACAGCTCTTGAACTAGATTTAGAAAACATTTTTACAAGATCACCTTTGTTCAGTATGATATCCCTAAAAGCCAAAATGAATGATCCTGACTTTCATAAGAGCAAAATAGCAAATCAGATCGGTTTCAGGATTGGTGAACAATGAGTCAGCCTTCCTTGAAAGAAAGATATTGGGGAGGCGGCTGTTAATCAGTTAGCAAGTCTGCCTAGGTTGGAACCCTTAGGCCTGGAATCTAAGTTACAGAACACCCCTTTTCTCCTTCTCCCACCAGGTAACAACTGTGTACTGGCTGTTCCTTTAGGAGAGATCAAGTGTGTGAAAGATTTTTTTTTTTATTTTTAGTGATGAAGGCTGAGCTATGCTGCTGGCAACTGACAATGGATATTGTGAGCTTACAGCCTGATTCCTCTTCTCCAAGTAGAGGGGAACCTTCTCATCTTCTCTTGCAGGAACTATTCTGAAGACTGTGTGCATTGAACAGGGTCTGTGGGGACCAGAAAGGGGAGGGGGGGCCACTCCAGAATGAAGTCCTTTTCATCCCTACACAGGCCTAACCTGGAGAAGAGAGACCTTAGAGGGGGCCCAGGATATATGGACCTCAGCTGGCAGTCTCGGGTAGGGCAGGGCGCTGAGGGAAGGGTCACAGTAGTTCTGGGTCCAAGAGCCAGGTCCACACATCAGGATTCAGTTAAAGGTGGTGGGGGGTGTGGGGGGATGCATGTTGGGGGTTGGGGAGAATAAAAGGGCTTGAGTGACAAGGGAGGGAGAGAGATCTGAAGAAGAGAGGTAGGTTGAGTGAAAGAAAAGGTGGAAATTGCTACTGAGTTTTCTTCTTCTGCAGCTGAGCATTCCTGGACACGTGTGTGTGGAAATTCACAGTTTGGGGACCCACATGCTCTCGCAAAATACGATCGCTTTTTTATTAGGTCCCCCAACCCAATAACAGATAGCTCTAACTCTTGACAGAGCGTATGGCGCATCAGGCCTGGGACAAGTGTGACAAGTTGAACCAGTAACAAACTACAACCTTTGCAGTCAGAAAGCCAGAGTTCCCCAGGACCCGAGCTGACCACTCAGTCCCTCTACGGAAGTCATTTGCTGGAGGCGGGGCTGTAAGCACAAATGGAGGCGATCGATCAGCGGGGGTACAAACACTAGGTCCAGAAGAGAAACTGAGCCCTGATAGCCACAGAACCGGAAGAAGTCCCCAAAAAGGGACAGCGTCTCCTCCACAAGCCTCGGTTTCTTCCTGCCCCCCTCTTGAGACCGAAAGCTGGCGCTTCCACCTAAAAGCTAAGTAAGGGTTTCCCCTGCCTGGGGCACCACCACTACAGCCCCTCCTCTCCCGGACTGGAGAATGGGGCTGCACCCCTCCCTTCCGGAGGAGCTGGAGGCTTCGCCTGGGGCCTCGAGGACACCACTTCTCCGCTTCCCCGAGGCCTCCTGCAAGTTTGGAACCTTAGGGTGGGCGAGGTGGGAAGAACCCACAGAGAGGGTAGAGGGCGCCTCGACCCCCCGGGGAGTCTCATCTCTTTTTTCCCCCCGCTTTGCCTCACCCTTAGGCTGCAGGGCCGGACCCGGGCCAATCTAGTTTGGATGGCTCATTCCCGCGCGCACCCAGCCCCCCAGCCTAGGTCCCCGGCGTAGTCTCCCCCCGCCCCCGCGCCCGCCCTGCGCGCCCTCTGACGCAAACGCGCGCCCCTGCCCAGCGCGAGGAAAAGAGCTCTTGATGGTTTTAATTGAGGCTTTTCCTTTCACACACACCCTCGGTCCGCACCCCTGGGAAGTGACCCCCTCCTTCCTCCAGCGCCCTAGCCGCGGCAGAAGGAATCTGGTTCCGCTGCGGCGCTGCGGATCGGTGCTCCCGGGTCGCCGCCGCCTCCGGTGCTCCGCTGGGGAGAGCTGCTCGGTGTCCCTTTTAATCCGCTGACACTATCGCCCACATCAAACAAGCGGCCATCGATCGCGTTACGTTAGGGGATCGCGTTACAAACGGCGCCCGCAGGTGGATGGCAGGAACCGAGCTCGCCAGGCCCTAGCCGCAGTCAGGCGAGGCGCAGGCAGCCGGGCCAGTGGGCTCCGCAGCCTGCTCCGTCGCAGCTCGGGGTTCGCAGCAGCGCGGGCGGGGTGCGGGTGCTAAACCTGCAAATCCTTGCCTCCCCTCCCCTCCCTCATCCCGGTCCTCTGCCGCCGCGCTAGAGGCTGGGAAGCCTTTTTCCTGCCAAGGAGGTAAATAGGGGGCAGCGAGGGGAAGGTGGGGGAGACCTGGTTTGAATTTGGACTGGCGCTTGGCTGACACGATCCTCAGCTCCAGGGCAGCACAGCGCCCGCGATCCCCGCCTTGGCGCCGCGGCTGAGCCGAGGTCAGGTGAGGGCTGCTCCGGAGCAGGCCCGGCGGAAAAGTTCTCTCCCTGCCCTGCCTGCCGCCACTGCGGCCCAGGTCCGAGGAGGCCGTGAGAGCCAAGGCTGCGTCCTGGCCAGTTCCCATTCATTACCAACCCCGAGTTCAAAGGAAACGAAAACCATTGCGTTACTTGCCTGGTGCAGCAGGACTTGTCGAGAGCAAGTCTCGTTTCTGGTGCTCACGACACACGGTCCAGGGTCCGAGGGCGGCTGGGCCCGAGAGCCCAGCGTCCAGCAGGCCTCCGGCTCCCTGGAGCTCGCGTCTCCGCGCGCCTCCAGCTCGCGTCTCCGCTTCCATCGCTCTGTCTCTCCCCCCACGTTCTCTCTCCTTCCCCCTGTCTCCCTCTCTCTGCTTGCTTCCTCTGCCCTCGACTGCCTGCCTCTGTACAGTACAGGGAGTAAAATTTAAAATTTATATAGAGAAAACTTGTTCTCCTTTTCTTTTCTTTTTTTTCCCCCTTTATTTTATTTTGTTATTTAATCGTGTTTGTTTCACCTTTTGACTGACAGGAAGACGGGAGCACGTTTATCTGGGGAGAGGGGCGAGGGCCAGGAGCGCCGACCCGCCCCCAGTAACCTCTTCGCCATCCACTGCATACAATGGGCCGCCACTGGCGGAGGGCAGAGGCTGTCTCTCCTTTATTCGAGCTAGGGGGACGGTGGGGCAGACACAGGAAAGCCTTTATTTTGCTCTTTAACTCGTCGCTAAGCGGCCGCCGACTCCTGACTCAGGCTGGAGAGCCCAGGAAACGCAAAACGCACCCAAAACGCCCAGCGCTTCCCCAACCCCTCCCTGGTGAGATTTAAAGTGAGAACGAATATTTAAAAATAAACCCTACCTCGGTCAAGTCAGCGTGGCCCTGGACTCCCATCTCACCTTTACCTGAGGGCGTGTTGGAGCTCCGGAGGCTGAAGCTGAGACAAACTTTTACGCTCTCCGGGAGTCGAGGGGCGGGCGGGCGAGCGCGACTCCCACCTCCGAAGCGGCAGCCGCGGCTTTGTCACTCTGCGCCTCTCCGCGCCCGCCTGAGCCTGCCTAGGGGAGCGATCTCAACACGAGGGGGGTGCGAGTGTGCGATTGGAGAATATGTAACTAATAGAAGTATCATTTTCCCCCAGTACGATCTTTCAAGGAAAAAAACCCATTGAAAGAATTTTCAAAGTGCTATCTTCGTTTGGAGAAAAAGCACAGGCTGCCTGCAGGGAGGGGAGGAGGGACCTGGGCGTGCGCCTCCCGGGCGCGGCTCCCGTCCGCTAGGTGGCAGCCGGAGCCAGCGATTCCTGCAGGCCCCGCGGCGGGACCCGCTCTCGCGCCCGCCCCTCCTCCCGCGACCAATCGCCTTCGGGTTTCGGGGTCTCGCTGTGTGAGTGTGAGTGTGTGTATGTGTGTGTGTGTGTCTGTCTGTCTGTGTGTGTGTGCGCGCGCGCGCGCGCGCGGGCGCGTGTGTATCTCCTCTCTCTCTCTCTCTCTCTCTGTCTCTCCCCCCACCCCGTTTCCCCTCCCTCTCTTATTCTCGCCCACCTCGCTCCTTCCCCACCCCGACCCCATCTCCCTCATCTTCCCTTCGTCTCCTTCGCTGCTCCTTTCCTCTTTTCCTGGGACGCTGACTTGGCGACACTCCCCACCCCTCCCCAACAATATGAGGTTTTACTACTGTTTTATTAATAATTATTGAAGCGTTGTTTAGAGTTTGGAACCGCCTGAGGTGACTCCGGGTTGGGGGGGGGTGTTGAGAAGGAAAAATGGGCTCGATTGGAAAGTTTATTTTTAAAATCATCCCTGGGATAAATAAGAGCCGTTGATTCGCTTTGATTTTGTGGCACTCGCTTCCCATTCCAGGAGTGCGTTTTGTCGTGATGAAACCTTTAAAAAGCACGAGATGCTTTGGACCCCCCCAAACCAGAATCTCTCTCCTACTTTGTTTCTTCAGAGGTTCTGGAATAAGCTGGATTCACACTCGGATTCGACTTCTCTGTGAAAGCAGAAAACAATCCCAACCCCGTCGATGTCATGAATCTTTAAAATGGTGACTTTCCCATTAAAATTGCCCCTCGCGTTTTCCATGGCACTTGCTTCACGCTCAGAAAAGCTCATTTTTGAAACTTTTCAGAAGAAAGCAAAATAATTTCTTGCTAATTGTCTTTGCACCCTCTGCAAGACACTCTCCCCCCCCCCGGGCCGCCCCTTCCCCCCTCTGGGGTTCGTGCGTGCATGCGTGTGTGCATGCGTGTGTGTGTGCGAGTGTGTGCGAGTGTGTGACCACAGACGACCCATACTAATCAGGTCTCAGAGTAAATAGCAGCGAAGGGCGATCTCAATGTAAATTGCGCTTGTCAGAAGCTCCCCCCCTCCTCGACTTTCTCTCTCCTCCCCTCGCCGCCCCGCCGGTAGGTAGCCGGGAGGGAGGAGGTTGGGGGGGGGGGAGAAAGAAAGGGAAAAAAAAGGGGGGGAGGGGCTCCCCAGCCAATGGCGTGCGGGAGGCTTGGCTAACCTTAGCCTCCCATTTTCTCTCCCCCCCATTCAGGGCTCTGACCAGTCAGTCGCCTTTGATTATCAGTTGCCAGCAGCCCTTCTCTTGGCTCCTTGACACGAGCTCCATATAAGGCAGCGATCTCCATAGAAACGTGTCAGTTTCAATAGTAGTGTCAAAGTTCACTATATACAGACATTCGCGCAGATCCCCCTTTCGGAAACATTGCTCTGCGAGTCCTCCCGTTTCAACGCATTCAATTTTGGGGTCTCTCCCTCTCTCTCTCCCTCTCTCTCCCTCCCTCCCTCCGCGTCTCTCCCTCTCTCTCTCTCTCTCTCTCTCTCTCTCGCTCTCGCTCTCTCTTTCTCTCTCTTTCTCACTGGCTCTCTTCTCTCCCCCTCTCTCCCCTTTCTCTTTTCTTACATATTCTATTAGTTGTTGCCCCGAATTCTTCTTCTTCTTTCTCTGCTTTCTCTCCCTCCTCCTCGTCTCCTCTACTCCATCCCTGCAGAAGAGAGGGCGAAACTTAAAAAAAAAAAAAAAAAAAAAAAAACCGGGGGAGGAGGAGGCACCCCCTTCGTATTCTTTTTATCGTTATTTTATACATATATGATTTTTGGGGGGAGGGAGGGTGTTGGTTCTCGGCTGAAGAGCACTTATTTAAAATACTAAAAAAAGAACATTTTTGGGCGATCTCCAGGGTTTTTTTAACTAGCTCTGTGTGTTATAGCAGAAGAAGCAGAAGAAGGAGCAAGAAAGAGGAAAAGAAGAGGATTATTTATTCGACCTACTTTGGATGTCTCTCTCGCGGTTTTTTGTGGCTTTTTTTTTTTTTTTTGCCGTTCCTTTTCTTCTGATTTTTATTTTTTCTGTTTCGCCGTGAATCCGTCGCCGGCGTGAATCCTCCCGTGTGTTTCTCCCCCGCCGGCACCTCCCGCAAGAGGAAGGCTCCGCCAGCCCCGCGCCGCCGGCACAACAAAAAGAGCAAAGTGCGCGGTCCCCGCCGGCGGCTCCCGCTCTCCGCGCCGCGCTCCTGGATGGCTGGCCGCGCCCGGCCCTGGACCTGGCCCCCCGACTCCAGCGCGCCCTGATCGCGGCCGGCGGCGGCGTCGTCCCGCGCCCGGCTCCGCGCCCCGCGCCCCCCTGCACCCCGAGTCCGGCGAGGGCTCGCGCCCGGACGGCGGCGGCCGCGGCCACCCCGGCCGGCGCTCCCGCCGCGGCCCCGACCGCAGCCCGGACCCCGGCGCGGGTCGCGCCTGCCCCGGCGGCCCTCGCGGCGGCCGCCGAGCCCGCGGCTCCAGCGGCGCCCGCAGCCGCGCCCGCCGCGCCCGCCGCGCCCGCCTCCCCCGCCGCTGCCGCCGCCCTCGCCGGCTGCTCCATGTCGGCCCGGCCGGCGCGCGGCGCGTAGCTCGAGCGGCCGGCGGGCGGCCCGGCGCCCGGCGCGGGTGAGCGGGCGTGTGCGCGGGAGCGAGTGTGAGTGCGCGGGGGTGCGGGCGAGGCGGAGGGCGAGTGTGTGCGCGCGCCGTGGCCCATGCCCGCCGCCCCCGGCGCTGCGCCCCGCGCCGCTCCCGGCTGCCGCCTGTGCCATTTCTGATTTTGCAACTTGGGGAAGAAGAAAAAAGCGAGAGAAGGAAGCTTGCTGGCTGGCTGGGGGGGGTGGGGAGGGGGGAAGGAGAGCGCCCCCCCAGGATCGGAGCGCGGGGGGAGCGGGCGAGGGGAGCAGGGGTGTCGGGGGGGGGAGCCTGAGAGCCTGGGGGGGCTGCAAAAAGAGAGAAAGAAAACAGCAGGAACCACAACAAAACGCCAGCAGGGCGGGCGGGCGCGCGGCGGCAGCGGGGCGGCCGAGGCAGTAGCGCCGGCAGCGGCGGCAGCGGCGCAGGCAGCGGCCGGTGCCCGGCTCGGGCTCGGCTCCCGCGACCCCGGGGCGCCCGGCGGGCCCCCGCCCCCTCCCCCTCCCCCCTTCCCCTTCCCCTCCCAGCGCGCCCGCGCGCCCCGCGGCCCTCGGCGAGCAGCTCGGCTCCCCCCAGCGCTCCCCGGGCCCAAAGATATGGCAATGGTAGTTAGCAGCTGGCGAGATCCGCAGGACGACGTGGCCGGGGGCAACCCCGGCGGCCCCAACCCCGCAGCGCAGGCGGCCCGCGGCGGCGGCGGCGCGGGCGAGCAGCAGCAGCAGGCGGGCTCCGGCGCGCCGCACACTCCGCAGACCCCGGGCCAGCCCGGCGCGCCCGCCACCCCCGGCGCGGCGGGGGACAAGGGCCAGGGCCCGCCCGGCTCGGGCCAGAGCCAGCAGCACATCGAGTGCGTGGTGTGCGGGGACAAGTCGAGCGGCAAGCACTACGGCCAGTTCACCTGCGAGGGCTGCAAAAGTTTCTTCAAGAGGAGCGTCCGCAGGAACTTAACTTACACATGCCGTGCCAACAGGAACTGTCCCATCGACCAGCACCACCGCAACCAGTGCCAGTACTGCCGCCTCAAGAAGTGCCTCAAAGTGGGCATGAGGCGGGAAGGTGAATATTTCTTCTCTGCTTCTCTCCCTGCGCTTAGCCCGCCTCCCCGGCCCTCTCTCCTGGCCTCCCGCGGGGGTGGGTGCCGCGCGGGGCTGGGGCTCTGCGGTCCCGGCCCGTCCCAGCCTCCCCGGTCCCCGCTGCCTTCCTCCCCCGGCGCCCCCCCCAGCCCTCCCCAGCTCGCTGCCGCTGCCTCCCCCTCCCGGCCTGCGCTCCGCTCCCGTCCTCGGCTCCTCCACCCCGCCCGCTGCCTGCTCAGGATTGTGTCCCTGGGATCGTGAGCTGTGGCTTAAAATCCCCTCCCTTCCTCTGTCTTGGATGTGCTCGGTGTGTGTCTCTTTCCCGCGAGTGCGTGAGGATGCTTGGGGCTGTGCTGGCATGAACTTGGGGAGGGGGGTGCTTATTTGCCCCAGAAAACTCTGTTTCTGTGTTTTGTGGTTTGTTTGTTGTTGTTGGGTTTTTTTTTTGTTTTTTTTTTTTGCATTCCACTTTCCCTTCCATCTCTTCATATCCTTTATTTTAAGTGGGGGAGGGCAGGGACTTGGGGTATCCCGAACCGTGGATTCATTGCTGCATCATCCTTTTGGAAGCTTAGTTTGGAAAAAGAGGAGTGAGATTTATTGCACTTGTAGGTCTAATTAGGGGGGGAAGGGGGGCCTTCTGGCCTGTTCGCTCGCTGGTTCCCTCTCCTCTTCACCGAGCTGGGGCCGCCTCCTCCAGAGCTGTGGCCTTGTTTTCACCCCTCTACTTTGAAAGGAAAGTTTGTGACTGAACCGTGCTTTCATAGTTCTGTCATTTTTTTAAAGCATGATACTCGTTTTATTTCTTCATCAAACTCCACCCTCTGCTTAAATACTGCATACAAATTACAATTTACAACGGCATTTACCGATCCTTCTGATTTGGCTATAATGCATAGACTACAGCTGGCATGAGCTTCCACATCATTTAATCCCTGTGTTGTATGGGTTTGGTTTCTTTTAACACAACTTTTGATGTTGTATTTAGATATGCTTCATGTTCATGTGGCAAAAGATGCAGCACTTTTCGTATAAATATATTTAGCCGTTTACAGTTAAAGTTTATCTTCTGACAATCATTAGAGATGTCTTATACTCAAATGAGTGAACCAGTCAATTCTGCAGACTGCAGATTACTCCTTCTTGTAATTGACTTTAAAATTATATTTTAAATGCCACAAGAAAAGAAATTGAATTCCTTCAGATCTCAAGGAGCAGGCAAATATGACAACTTCATTTCTAGCTCCAGGGAGATTTTGTAGGCATCTGAAAAAAAAAAAAAAAAACTTTGAATTGTGCTCTCATTTAATTGAAAAATAACTGCCAAGTTCAAAACTATAATTAGAAAAGAGTATTCTAGCCATTATGTTTCAAGAGCTTAAATTGCATTGGGGATTGCATTAAAATTAGAATCAAAGCAAACTTAAGAAAATAGTGCACAACCTGAAATAAGACAGCTACCTGTACGTGGACATATCTATATTAATTTGTTGGGGGGAGAATTCAGGAGCCCTAACTTTTCCTAAAGTTGTCTTTGTTTACATGGCAATTTAAAACGCTGGCACTGTTGAAGTAAAACATACACATTAAAAAAAAAAAACTTTGGTCAGCTTTAAGAACTCAAAGCATGCTTACGTTTTGCATTCAGATGGTTAATGAATCCAGTGTTTTTGCAGTTGCAAGCTCGTGCATTCACTGGGCAAAAGCTGGCTGCAGGTTGCAGTGGCACCACGCAGGACAGACATTAATTTTATTTCCCACTTTTTGCAATAATGTTTGGCTACTGTAAGTTCAACTTTTTTCTTGAAATTTTTCAATTTTCTGTTGCTTTTAACAGTGAGAACTTTGTGTTGGGGCGATGGGGAGGAGGGGATGGGGAGAGGTGCAGGATACTTGTTTTCTATTCAGAAGTTATAAGTGGCTAGTAGGGTATGTAACTTGGATCTATTTTAAGAATAACCCTATAGCATTTTTAGAGAATGTGTAAATGTTTCAAGCAAAACGCTGCTTGTTTGGCAAATGAAGGGTAGCTAGGCATTTGCCTAGAACTACCACCTTTCTCCGGTTTTGTCTATTTTTTTTTTTTAACCCTGATTTGTTTCATTCTGGAGGGGTGAGTGGGGTTTCACTAACCGGTGTGTTCCTCCTTGGTAGTGGAGGCTTTGGGTAGCACTTTATTGGCCACGACGGGCAGGGGGGCCCTTCAGTCAGGCCTAGTTTGGGCAGGGCTGGGTGGCCAGGGGTGCAGGCGATGGCTGGATCTATGGAGCCTGGGAGCTGGAGGGCCTCTCCCCAGACTTCCTCCCGCTGTGGGCTGTGAGTGAGAGCGAGCGCAGGGCGCGAGTGGCTGCGGGAAGAGCCTCTGCATTGTGTCGGGTGTGCTGCGGGCGCAGGGATGTTCGCAAGCCCCCTGGATGCACATTGCCTCTTTTCTCTCTTTCTTTTTGTCAGCGGTTCAGCGAGGAAGAATGCCTCCAACCCAACCCAATCCAGGCCAATACGCACTCACCAACGGGGACCCCCTCAACGGCCACTGCTACCTGTCCGGCTACATCTCGCTGCTGCTGCGCGCGGAACCCTACCCCACGTCGCGCTACGGCAGCCAATGCATGCAGCCCAACAACATCATGGGCATCGAGAACATCTGCGAGCTGGCCGCGCGTCTGCTCTTCAGCGCCGTCGAGTGGGCCCGCAACATCCCCTTCTTCCCGGACCTGCAGATCACCGACCAGGTGTCTCTGCTACGCCTCACCTGGAGCGAGCTGTTCGTGCTCAATGCGGCCCAGTGCTCCATGCCGCTGCACGTGGCGCCCTTGCTGGCCGCCGCCGGCCTGCACGCCTCGCCCATGTCCGCCGACCGCGTCGTGGCCTTCATGGACCACATCCGCATCTTCCAGGAGCAGGTGGAGAAGCTCAAGGCGCTTCACGTCGACTCGGCCGAGTATAGCTGCCTCAAAGCCATCGTGCTGTTCACGTCAGGTGAGGCTGCGGGCGCTGGGAGGGCAGGCCGCGCGGGGAACCCCCGCAGGCCCCGCTCCGCCCGGGCCCGGCCTCCCGTGCTGCGCGGCTGCGGCGGGCCGGGCCCTCCCCGGACCTTGGGCCTGACCCCGACCTGCGGGCCGCGCGGGAACCCGGCGGGCGGCGCCGCTGCCATCTTGGGCTCGCGGCGGTGCGGGAGCCGCTGCGGCTGCGGCTGCGGCTGGGGGCGGGAGACTCCGGGCCTAGCGGCCGGGACAGCGCGCGGGGCCGCGGCGCGGCGGGTGCGCGTCTGCTTGGGGCGGGGGTGAGGGTGGGGGGGCGGCGGGGCTGGGGATCCGTCTGGCTGCGCGTGTGTGCGGTGTGGATGTGTGTACGGTGTGCGTGTGTGTGTCAGAGCTTGGCGTGTCTGGGGGAGGAGAGGGAAGGAGGCAGCAGAACGTGGGAATGTGGGAATGTGGCTTTCTCCTCTGTGTGGCAAGCTCCCTGGATGAGTTTCCCGACACAGAGAGGCACCCAGAGAGCTGGAAAGAGTCAGGAATACGCGCAAATAAATCATAAATAATCCCACTTTATTGCTGCCTGATTTTCCCTTATCGGAAACCATTCATGTTTGCAGTTGCTGAGGTTATTGAGAGTCGTAAAAAATGGATTCGATCTAAACAAGAAAGATAAAAAACAAAAGCAATCCTGGAGAACCCGCAAGTATGGGAGGATTCTCGGCCTAGAGATAAATCTCATAGCTATGCAAAACACATGAACACTAGAAATTTAACAGAGTGCCTTAAAAATATCAAATTAAATGTAGGCGGTAGTAACATGCACGTTAACAATTTCTCATGATAGATGGTTCAAATTAACTTCCAGGAAAGTGCATTAACGTTGCCTTTGAAGGTTCTGGTCTGAGCCTCTGAGAACACTGACCGCCTTTTATTATTGTAACCTGCAAGAGGGAAACATATAAACACCAGGGACAGCAGGTAATGGGGGGAAATATAAACAAAGCCAGAAAGAACGCTGGTGGTGAACAGAGCTGCCCAGACTGGGTCTCCAGGCTTGCCCACTGTGAGTAGAGTTAGCTGCACTTTTACCACTGCTATTGGTATTATTGTTTTTAATTCCTCCGTTCAGAGAACAAATAAGCCATCCTAATAAATCTATCCTAGAGCCAGGACCTCCAAAGGCCAAATTAAAACCATTCTTGAGCAGAGATGGCAAAACCCCTTTCCTAAGGCCTTGTTGAACAGTAAGCAGTGGTATAATCTATCAATATTTCTTGGCTTTCATGCGTGAAGAATCGTATTTACATTGTATTAAAATGACTCTTAAATTTGCACAATATTGTAATGTAGCAAATGTAGTATTAATATCGATCTGAACAGCAGATAATTTATTTGGACAAGAGACTCTCATTTGTATGCAGGGTGGCCAGGGCCCTGGACTTGGACTGCCCCCCTTTTAGTTTCAGTGCAAATGCAGGGCTGCTAGTAGGAGAAGGAGTTGGTCTTTGCAAGAGGATAAAGTGTGAATCTTAAAACAAATGGAAGATTTATTGAATAGCCTCCTCGGTGTTTGAATGCATTTTATCTTAATAAGTCTTCTTGATGGAAACGTGTTTTTTAGAAGTGACAAAGAGCCTGGGAAGCAGCAACCCGGCTGCTCTAGCTCTGGCAGGCCTGGGGCCTGGCTGGCTCTCCCCTACCCTGCTCTTTAGCCAAATTAATCAGGAAGCAAGCCAGTGTCAGGGAAGCTGGGGTTTTAAAATCTCATCCAGTGGAGTGTCTTGAAGCAGAAATGTGACATGGAGCTGGACAGAGGTCTTCTCCAGAAAGGTGTCCCCTCCCTCTTCCTTGGCCCTCCTAAGGTTCTGTGAGCCCCCTTGATTTTCTGGTTTCACACCCTTTACCAGAAAGAGGCAAGGACTGTGCAGGCTGCAGGGAAGATTGTGGAATTGTGTGTGCTTTTCTTTCAACTTTCCATCCTGAAGCAGCCCTGTGAGAAGTGTTGCTTTAAAAAAAAAAAGTTTTCCCAGAGAAGCTTCTTGAACCAAGTCTTCAAGGTACAAGGGAGGTGAACAATAGCATTATTTTGTTGGAAAAGTGCAAACAGAATATCTGAAAATGGAAATAGAGCTGTCAGTTGTAATTCACCCCTCTCCTCCATACAACACATTTCCACTTTTGACTAAACTTGTTTTGATTGCTAGCCAGAAGGGAATTCATGGGAAGCCTTCTCAAAGTCATCCAACTTTTAAGCGAACTTTGAATGATGGAAAAGACAGTTTTAGACATATTGTCCAAGGAGGTTTGCTCTCGCTAAGTATTTGAAGCTGGCACAGGGGTTCCCTGTGGTGGTTTTCACATTTGGCCTCCGGATGGTATGTTTAATCCTTAATATTCTGGACAGCATCCAAGGACTAGGTCATGACCTGAACTTACTTTAAAAAAAAATTCATTAATTCATAATACTAAATATTCCCTCAAATAAATGAGACCTTCCCTGAAAGGAGCCATCTAGTTAACATAAATACAATAAATCCATTTTCAGCACAATAATAACTTTGATTTCTAGTTATGGCAGCTGATTACATCTATATTTCCTGAACACTAAACTCTTCTGAATGCACAACATGAAATACATTCTCTGCACTACAAAGGCTAAGCCGGGAGGGCCTGAGTAGTAATGGTTATTTATTTACATAATTTCTTTTCCATATACTGTAGAAGAAATATCGAGGGTTCCCACATTGACACCACCATATAAAAAGCGAGACATGGATTTTGCACATTCTGCCTCCTTTTCTTATCTAGGGTATAACTCATGGAGTGTAAATATGTACTGCATTGCACCCCCTGCTCAACTAGCTTTGCTACTACTACCACCCAATCGATCTGAGAGCTCAGGCTGTCTGTCCACAATCGGAGGAATCCTGTTACAGCAATATCCAGAGTGGGAATAAAAATCTAGCGTGGGAAGCCAGGCCGGAACTAGGACTCCTGCCGGAGGAAAGGCACAGGGCTGCCCTGGCACCTGGCAGCCAGGCCCAGCTCTAGGCATTCTGCCTTCAGAGGAGAGAAATCTAAGCAGCCAGCACAAACCTGCCTGTCCTGGGCTTCTTCCCCTTGGAGTAGGAGAGACTAGGAGAGACGTGGGCTGGGAGAAGGGTAGTGACCTTGCAATCTGGGGTCCCTCATCATAAATATCAGATAAATATTTTAAGGACCTGAGGGGATGCCATATGGGTCTTTTAAGATGTCTGCTGGGATATCAGTGGGTCCTTTTCATATTGCATTGTCTGAGGCTGTAAAGAATCCCATGGCATACTGGGCAGATACTGCATGTAAAACAAGATATATGTAAATATGAGGCTGCGTGGTGGCCTTTCAGTGGGGCCAGGTTATCAAGGAGGGTCACGGGCAAACCTCATGGTCCCCTCTCTAAGCAGCGAAGCCATAATGTGCTCTGCCCTCACCCTGTTAGCCATAAAAATCTCACTGGCTTCCCAAGTCAGACCAGGGTGGATACACCCAAGCGGCTTTCTGGAGTAATTAGACATCTGAGAGGAACCCAGTCTGTATCGGGGGTCAAAGGAGTGTTGCCTCAGAAGTTCCTGAATTATCACTAGTTTTATTTGTATTTTTGCTTGAGGCCATCGCCTTATAGATGAAGGTGTGAGCATGCTTTGTAAATCCCAGTTCTTGAAACATGAAGACATAAAACTCAGAAACTCAGCAGACACAGTTTTCGCTTTGAATCATTTGCTGTGTCTTCTTGGGGTCATATTTGCTCATTCTCAATTATATAATGTCCTTTTGGGGGCATTGCCATGTATGAATTTCCTCCCCAATCTGTATATTAGCCAACACTACCTTTGATCTCTAGTCAACCTCCTGACTGGCTAAGGGCTCCTCTGTGATCTTTGTGTTTTTAAAATATTTATTATTAATATCAGAAGCAACACTGGTATTTGAACCAGGAAAGGAAGCCTTCTCTCCATCCCTCTGATTTCCCCTTCCCCTCCATTTGCGTGCCTTTAGTTAGTTGATATAGTATAAACTGTTGTCTTGAAATATTTTTAGGAGACGGAGGACACCAAGCCCTGGTTGATGTGAGGTAAACAGACAGGTTTTAAGATGCTGTCATTGTGTGGAGGTGCCTTCCCCCCCCCTTGGTCCTGCCATAGGAAACAGTTTCTCCCCCAAAGCCCCCCTCAACTCCCCACGCCCCAGTTCTGAAGCAGCAGCAGCAGCTGCCTCTAGCCCCAGCTTTGTGTCTGATCACTGAAGATGTCTCCTTTCTGCAGCCTGAAGTAACTGAGCCATATTCCTCCTGATTATTATACAGCTTACAGAGATGTGACCAATTTTCAATTACTTGATCTAAAGCACAGATAGAAATGTACACCATCACCAAGGATTTGCTGCAGAGTTCTTGCTTGCATAGATAGTAATATTGCTAAAGCATGGGCTTGATCTGATTCCAGGCACTGCCAGACCCTGATTTCTTACACCTCCCATGTGTTCGTTCACTACACATCCAGGTTCTTGTGATTTCTGGTTGGGGTCATTGGGTTTGAGAGGGAGATTCCAAGAAGCCTTTAAGAACTGCCCCCCGGGCTGCATATTTCTTCAGAGCTCCCCAGCACCCCAAAATCAGGGGTAAAGGGGGCAAAAGTCCTCCCTTTAATGAGCACAGTGGAAAGATGCTCCCCTGCAGGCGGAGGACAGGTTGCTATGCACAGCACACATGGCCCCAGCATCGTACATTATTTAATCCAAAGGTGAAAGAGGAAAAACAAAGGGAGTAGAGGGGTTGCTGTCTCTGCATATGTGTGCTGCTCTCCCCAGCTCCCCTAGGCTTGGTGGGGGTTTGATTTATTTTTGTTTGTATTGGGGGCTGGGGGAAGCGAGTGGTGAAGAAGGACTGAGGAGGCATGGAGGGGAGGATTTCTTTCTTCTTCTTCTTCTTCTTCTTCTTCTTCTTCTTCTCTCTCTCTCTCTCTCTTTCTCTCTCTCTCTCTTTCCTTGAACAACAATTTTAATGGATGATTGTTTGTGCTTTTGCTGTTCGATGGCCTAACAGTTTGCCCCTTCCCTGTCTCTCCTTCCCTGGCTGCTCGGGCAGATGCCTGTGGCCTGTCGGACGCTGCCCACATCGAGAGCCTGCAGGAGAAGTCGCAGTGCGCCCTGGAGGAGTACGTGAGGAGCCAGTACCCGAACCAGCCCAGCCGATTCGGGAAACTGCTGCTGCGACTGCCCTCCTTGCGCACCGTGTCCTCCTCGGTCATCGAGCAGCTCTTCTTCGTCCGTTTGGTAGGTAAAACCCCAATCGAAACTCTCATCCGTGATATGTTACTGTCTGGGAGCAGCTTCAACTGGCCTTACATGTCCATCCAGTGCTCCTAGACCTTGGGCGCTTCCCACCTGCTCCCGCTTCCCTAGAGACTCAGAGGACCAGTGGGGGCCATGGACTGTAAAGCCTTGGGGACACCGGGCTGCTGATGCAGGGTACAGCCTGCCAGGCTGGGCAGGGGGTGGGGGGGGAGGGCTGGGAGGACAAGGAGCAGCCCACCCTGCAGAAGTGCAAGCTGAGCTCCAAATCGGGAGAAAAAGAGACTCTTTTAGGATCAGATCTGTGAACACGTTGGAAAGGAAAGAAAAAGGACCTTGTGTCTGGTGTGAAAAATAAACAAACAATTTTTTGGAAGAGAGGACCATGAGAATTTTAATAAAACAGAAGGAGACTAATGGACCTTCCAGGATTTATTGTGGACGGATGTGGATATATTCTGTACAGAAAACACACTTGAAAGTGGACTGAATCCTATGTAGAAACACACACACCCAAACATTGTTATTCATTTTGTAAAATACTAGTCTTTATTTTCATTTTTTGTAAAATTTAAACATCGTATGCACATAAAAAAGGAAACAAGAATTAGGGGAAAATAACATTTTCCAAATAATTATAAAAAATTGTCCTGTGTCTATGTATCTATATCTGTTTTGTATTTTTTTCTGGTTCCAAACCAGATTTCCTGTGATTCTATACTAATAATTTTTGATATAACCCTTTGCTTCTTATAATGAGTGCGATATATGTTGTCAAGGCTGTTCTTCAAGAATTAAAATCGAAGTGAAAATTTAAACAAAAATAAAAGAATTTAGCAAAACCCACGTGTCTGGTTGCTTGACAGATGTCATCAGTGCAAGAGAACCCACCAGTTAATTTCCACTCCAATGATTATTAGAGTAGGGGTTTTTGAGGGGGAACCTTTAAGGTCCACTACCAAGTTGGCTGGATTTACTTTCTCAAACCAAATCGCTCCGAATTTTCTAAATTCGGAGGGCCAGACACTGTGTGGCCAGGGTGGGTGGGGAGGACAGGGCATCTTGGTTGCTGGCAGCAGTCATGGTGACCTTGTGGGTTTCGGTGACCGTGCTCACAGCTGGGCCCCAGGCTGGGGCAAACTGGGGGGTGGAAAGGGGAGGAGGGGGTGATTCTCAGGGCTTAGTTGTTTCAGTGACCCAGGTGGGAGACTTGCCTGGCTGGAGAGGCTGAAGAGAGCCATGGAGCATAATACATGGGGATTAGGAAAGGCACAGGGCCCCTTAGATGCCCCTTTGCAGCTCTTGTGACTAGAGGGTCCAGCCTCTGCCCAGCTCTGGAAAACGTGCGTAGGATCCTCAGTGCTGTGAGCCCTGGCTCTGCACCCCCTTATGGTTCACTGAAGAGCTACTGGCTATTGTGGTTTGCTCTTTGCTCCTAAGGATGCTCAAACTAAGTTGGGGTTGATCCTGGAACCTGGGAGTGGAGGAGCTAGACTGGAATAGGTTCTTTCAAGTAGCTTCAGGTCCTATGGCCCTTTCAGTGCAGAAACCTCCTGCTGAGGCCTTTCTTTGGGTGTGTGGGGCGCTGCTCTCTGTAACAGCTTTTGGAGCATGAATGTTTTATAGGATCTCAGTTGGGGCTGCCAAGGGAGCTTTTTCTTAAGGTATTAATAAAGCCAGATCTTTTAAATAACACCTCTCACCTCCTCCCCCTCCCCTTGCCCCAGACAGACCTGGATGAGGCAAGAGCTTCATTTTCAGAAGTCATTAGCAAAGTTCTTTCAATTTGTTGTCTAGAAGTCTCCAGGCACCCCTTCAGCACCCCGCCCCTCCCCCCAACACAGATACTTTAAAATTGCATTAACAAGCTTCCACACTCCAACCAGCTTGAGGTTTTAGTATTCTGGGTGCAGTGTAGCAGCAGGGGCTCGCCTAGCTCTCTGTGGAACTGCCCTTGCAAGCCCAGTATTTCTAGCCAGCCTGCCGGGGGACCCACCTGAGTTCTAGGGTAACCAGGCAGGTACAGTGTGTGAGATGTGAGCTCCTTGGACCACTGGGTCCTTCCTGCCTCCTTGCAGGTCCCACCCTGCTCTGGACTCATCCTTTCTACCCCACCCCGGGCTGTCATCTTTGGGCTTAGCCTGACTTGCCTACAGGTAGGGGCACCCAAGCAGAAGGGGTGTGGCTAGAGGTCATATAAATCCCTGACTACTTCTTAGGAAGATTCCTGGATCCCTCCTCTGTTGCCCTCTTATCAAGTGAGGGGGTTGGGGTGAGGTGGACAGCAGCAGGGACATGGAGAGGGAAGGGAGCGGAGGTGCATCCCAGCACTCACAGATCTTTCCTTTCTTGAAATGAGATGTAAATATATTCATTACAGTGTGATCCCTCTGATGAAAACAGATAAACATTTTTTGTAGGCTGAAAATGTATTTTTCAATTAAGTTCAATATGGAGGCCCAAGCACAAAGCACCCAGTGCGGGGACTGGCCCGGGCCGAGGTTAGGATATGTACAGTTCTTGCTCTGATGTCTGCAGGTGACAGTGGTTGGTAACATGGCCCTTGTCTAATGGGCCCAGAGCTTGTCCACAGCTTAAGAAACTTTCTAAGCCTGGACCCAAGGGGGGGCGCCTTGCTGAAGAGAACAGAGTAAGGAGAAGAGTCAGCCTTTCTGTAGCTTCACTGACTCCCTCACATGCTGGCACTGATGGAAAAGGAAGAGCAAAAAGTGTTCCACTCTAGTGCTTTTGCTAGGTGACCCCTCTGAGCACAGTAGGCAGTGAGTTTCTCTTCTGCTGACTTCCTAGGTGGTTGAGTTAGTACCTGCCAGGGGTACACATGGTCATCCTCAGAGGTCTCTGTGTGTGAGACGGAGTCTGTCAGGGACTCTTGGGCTGTTTGAAAACCCCTGTTTTCCATGCTCAGAAGCACAGTTGGAATTCATGAATGTACTGGAACTCAGGGAAGATTTAGGAGCTGAGAGGTGTTTGAATCTTCTAGCAACAAGGAAGCAGCCTCTCCACTCCAGGCAACCCACAGTCTCCCATGGCCCCAGTGACCAGTAACCACCACCTGGGACTTCCTGGCAGTGCTAAGGGGCAGCTTCAGTTCAGATGTCCCTGCTCAGTGTCCTGTGCCTCTGCAAGCCCTAGGAGTCACTGGCAGAAGGTGATGTGGAGCCAGTGGGAGTTTCCTCTGCGTGGGTGGCCTTCTTGAGGCCCCTGAGCAATGAGCCTGCCATGGAGCTAAGCACCAGGGACAGCTTTAGAAACCCAGCATGAGGCCACAGGCAGGTGTAGGTCACAAGTTCATGTTGGGGGTGCAGCCCCTCCTTGGCCAGCCAGCCAGGGTGCTGCAGCCCTAAAGGATTTGGGAGAGCAGGGCTGGGCTAACTGGACTAGGTAGAACTGATGGGTTCCCCAGGGTCAGAGAAAATACACCTTAGTTGGAGAGTAGTCTATGCAAGGTAAATTCCCTCTTGAAATTAACTGTGACATATGAAAGTCAAACGTCCCCTTTTCGAACCCCAACACTTGCTGGGGGACTGAGAATGGTGAAAGCTTTGAAGTTGGTTTAAACTACTTTATCCACAGCTTTGCTGAAAACATCAAAAAGGCCATCTCGGGGACGTGCTCTTTTCTGGGAACCTCTAGAGAACAGGCTGCAGCATCGCTTCCTCTCTGGGACAAGGCCTGGTGTGAGGGAGTTTACTTGTGACCTTTGCCCTCACAAGCGCTGAGCTGGGTTATGGGGGTTCCTCCAGTCACCAGGACAACCCTGGCTTTCCAGACTACCCCTCCATTGGGTCTGTCTCCTGTTCTTTGGCCTTAAAGGGGCTGGGTCTTCTCTCTGAGGCCGCACTGCCCAACTTTACATCTGAGCCACTGGGGATCTGGAATCTCCTCTGTCCCAACCCACCTGAGCTCCTCTGCTTGAAGCATGCAAAAAGTTTATTCTAAAAAAGTCCTCCTCCTCCACTCACAGGCAGCCCTCATATCTCCAACAATGGCACATCACCTCTGACCAGCTCCTCCATTTCTCAGAACAAATCACCTGAATGTCTTGCAAACGAGAGACACGGGACAGTAGCATGGGGAGGGAATGGAGGGAGACACAAGTGGGAACTAATAAAAGTCTTGTTAGAGGGTCTGCTCAGGATCTGTGGCGTCACGGGGCCTTTTACTTGGAAAGCCAAAGAGTTGTATTCCTAAATGAGTTAAAGACCCATTTACCTCTGTCGTGTTCTATTCATCAAGCCACAAGTTGAGAGTTCCTAACATGAAACTATTTGTTTGCTTACACAACCAGCTGGGCGCAATTTCACGTCTGAGATATCTATCTGAAAGCGCCTCTCATTTATTATCTCTCCTTGTCAGCGAATCCATTTTCCAACTCCCCCTCCCCCCTTTGGAGTTTATTTATTTATTTATTTATGTGTTTATTTATTTATTTATGGTGGGACTTTTTTTGCCTGGGAGGACCTGGGTCTGTAATGCTCCCCGGAAGCTGCCGCTCCCTGTGGGGCTTCTGCTACGCCCTAGACGCGTGGACCAGGGGGCAGCAGAGGCGCACTGGCGGCCACCGCTTACCCAGGCGGTCGGCCCACAAGGGTGCCAGGCAGGCAGCGGGTGGGCCTAGCCGGACACTGCGGACCTGCCCTTCTTTCTGGATAGCCTCACCGCTGCTGCTCGCTCTGCTAGAGTTAGCAGCAACCACCTGTGCGAGGAAGGGGTGGGAGAGTCACCGGAGGGGAGTCCAGGAGCTTCTTTCGGAGCTTCTCTCGGAGATGGGGCCTGATATACGGATTTGAGAGATGCTTTCACAAAAACCCCACCTAGTCTCTTGGGGCCAATTTCTTCTTCCCAGGCCGGAGTGCAGAGTGAGTAACCAACATGTAAATAGTTGTGTGATGGGTTGGGGGAGGGGGTAGTGCATTTATTGTGTGTGCGGAGGGGAGAAGGCTGCACGTGGTTTCAATTTTGAAGCACAAAGAAATAACATGCAATGCAGAAAATAGGTTTATGAATGTAATTGAGGGGAAAGAAAACAATTAACACGGTGCAAGGTTGCACACTCGATTCTCCACCCCTCACCTTCTCTTCTACCCCAATTTTGAGAAATGAGGATCATGTGAATAGAGTGGATCTGGGCAGTTGGACCGGGCTGGCAAGGGAAGCCCCGATGGGGATCTTGGGGATGGGTGGATGATAATGGTGTCTATCCATTCCCAGTCTGCTAAGGCCTCCTTCCACCCAGCTGAGAGCAAGGGACCAAATCCCCAAGTGCTGCATATAAAATACCCCCAATTGTAAAGACAGGAAGGG